GCCCAGGAGGCTTCGAACACTCATTGAGGATGTTCAATCCACTGTCAAAATTCCAACAGAAAAAGAACATTCTTCGCCAAAAGTAGTTCAATAAATTCGCCTTCGTCGAATCTCCACCCAATTTTTACATCCCCCGAACAAGATTAATCCTTTTCATCCGTACTCGAAGTTTTCCACGGGATTCTCATCACGCCCCGATACTCACTAAACGCAACTTCCCACCCTGCTGTATATCCCCGCGATTTTAAATAACATTAACTCTAAATACTCGGTATACTTTTAATCGCAGACTCCTACCGATGCTTTGTCGCGCCCCTGCCACGCCTCACACCCTTCGCTCCACCGTCGCTACTTTCAATCATTGAAAAAGTTCGTCGGCCTCGAGAACTCGTTTCGCCCCCCCCACCCCTCGATCGTTCTTTTTTTTTTTTTTCAATTTACCCTCGAGCCAATCGTCGCTGACAGTGGAGCAGCGCGAGAGGCACACCGTGAGCCTCGACGAACGGGGGAAGTTGAGGGAAAGGAAGGGGTGACGATCGAAAAGTCTCGAAAGTTTCGAGCTAATTTGATTTATCGTCGCAGCCACTTGAGATTCGCGGCCCGACTCCGTTCCACCCCCTGACTCGGCGTCCTCGTTCCCCGAAGAAATTAGGAGGGGTCAGGGATCCGCGTTGGGCCACCCTTACGGTCCACAGGGGAGTGGTGGAGAACGACGAAGAATGCCCACCCTCTGGGCTCGGAATTTATTATTGATCTTGAGTCATTCCGTCGAGCCCCACGACGGAAAAGAGGGACGACGGTTCGATGCGATTGATAAAGGACGAGACCCCCCTTCCCCTTCCCCGTTGCACTCGTGACTTTCACCTCGATGAGAATCAACGGGAAGAATGGAGGCTCTACCGAATCTTTCGAGCGTTCCCGTCCGGTTATTATGTCTCATTGTTCTCGGTATAATTCGAGAAACAGAGAGCGAAACGGCATCCTGATCTTCTACTCGGGAACTTCCAGCGTCGTGCACCTAATTTCTTGTTTTTTTTTTTCTGGGTCTTCCTTGTTCTCTGTCTCGGCTGCTTTTTGCTTCCTTTAGCGGGCTTGTTTCGAACGTTTGGGGTATTGGGAGTTTCGTGAACAGAGGCCATTGAAGATTGTCCTTTGGGAGTAGACAAGAGGTACGGCGTTCTCTGTCTATAAACACGTTTGGTGGATTTTCTCGGAATCGCGTTGCAGTCTTCGCCGTAATACAGGACAATGAAATGAATGGTACGTGTTCATTATTTTCTACATAGACAGTTCATTGTTCTCTATAAACGCGTTATGGTGTGATTATAGGGAGGGAATACTATAGTCAGCATATTTTAAGCAATTACTGTACAGTGACGTGTGCGCCCTATTAATTAGAACTGATTTGTGGAATTTTCTGAACTTGAATTTCAATTATTCTCTAGTAGACCCAGTGTCTAACAAGGAAAAGATCCCAACTACCAGACTTCGATTTATGTGACATATTAGTTGTAGACACTCGATAATTTCAAAGATATAAAAAATTACAGTTGCGTATCTATAAGATGTACTATGAATATAACTCAAATTTATCGAAGTGTATAATGTTGTTTAGCTGGTAAATTGGATGTCCTGAGATCTATTCCCGTTCACCGATATATTTTTGTTTCACTTTGCCAACACAACTATGAATATAAGTAACTGATGACTTATATTCATAGTATATCTCGAAGGTTCGTAACTTTAATTATTTATACCTTTAGAATCATCGAGTGTCTACACACAATGTTTCACATACATCATTAGGAACTTGTATACTACCATTTTACAAAACCCCATTTTTTAACATCGCAGTCGGTCAGTCCTTTCCTTGTAAGCAGAGAACTTTTGGTTCAGAGCATAAATCGATTCAGTCACGTTCGAGTTTTTGTATTTCTCAGACATTGAATGACGTCCTATAAATTGCCAGCGATTTGATCACATATGTTATTTTCTCGGCCATCCTCTAGCAGCCAGTCCGTGTCGAAGATCAACACCAACTAAATCGCGTCGAAACGGTTGCGTCCCGAGTGTCCGTCCTGTTTCAGCGCGATTCATCAGCCACCGTTCCACGATTACTGGAACCGTCACATTCGACCACGGTCGTCCGAAGAATAAGAAGCATGGAAGGGGGGTGGGGGGTGGTTGGACTCGCCTAATCCTAAGTAAACGCACCACCTTCGCTCGCAGCTACCTGTCTGATCAAACATTTGTCTTTACTACTCGGTTGATTAAACGCTCGCTCCGAGTTTATATTGCATTTGAGACGGGCCTCTCGTTCGTTCGCTGGGGGATGTCCGGCGAGTGTGTCGGATCAAGGGGAAGAAAAGTGAGTCGCGGAAACTGGATCGACGGGGAGGAACATCGTAGATGATCGAACGAAGAGATTCGAGATGTTGGAGGGTATCGAGAACGATCGTAAACGGGGAAGGTGAACAAGGAGATGACGATGATTCATATGTATTTGAAAATAGGAGAATAATGTGCAGTGCAATTGAGTACTGGGCAAAAAAAGTTATTTGATAATAGGGTGTTCAGGTGATAAATTGGTTACTTCATCGATAGGAATTATAGAGAGGCTTATATCGATTGATTTAGTAAAGTGGTTTGTTCTTTGCTGAGAAGTATAGGGTTTTTGATACTTTGGAATAAAGTATCGATACTGGACCTCTGTTGTCGTAGGGTCAATCGTCTCGGTACAGTTGACACTGCCAGTATCTATTACTGTTACACGACAATCTGATTTTGAGCCACGAATAAGCAACTTTTCACGAATAGTGTATCCTACTAAAGTCAACAGAATTATAAAACGAAATTTATTTACGTCAATTTTCAGAGTTCTGTATGATCGATTTTGATGCCATTTCTTTGAAACTTTCTACTGAATTTTCCGGGTGAATAACAATTACTTCAGTTCTCAGCAGGCTGAGTCCCACAATTTCCAACTATCATTTCTTCAACCCAAATTTAACATCTGCGTAACTTCCCTCGCCAGCTCCACTATTTTTCAGACACACATACGTAAGATCGATTTACTCGGAAATTAAATCCCAAATATCACCGGTTTCCGCACGGTTCCCCTGAAAACGTTCTGTTTTCTCGTAGCCACGTGTATGGGAACGATTTAGCTTCAATTGGACCCGCGTACGTGTGAACTGAATGACGACGAAGCAGCTCGTTCGTCTATGCAGCTCGCATACCCCTAATTTATCACTGTCTTCCGCAATGTTGATAGCCGAATTCACACTGCTCCCCCGCCCCCTTCCCCGACGAACCTGTTCCTCGTTTTATTTTGTAGCCTTTATGTCTTTTCGCCTTTTGTCGGGGCGTATCGTTTAATTCTCTGCTATCTTTCGATGCGCCTATTGTCGTGTGCCGTTCTGTATAAACGCGAGGCTGATTAATTCTGCCGTCCAGCCGAGGCGAGTGACGCGAGAACGCGGCTGGGATGGGAACGGTAAAGACGCATTGTTTCTGGATTGAAGGCTTTTATTCTGGCGGCGAATTAGCCTTCCTTTTGATCCCCCTATTGTTAAAGCGATGATCATCCCCGACTCGCCATTTGAATTGTACGGCGCGGGGTATACCGTGTTTCGTCGGAGCTCTTTGGAAGGACATCGTGTTTGATCAATCATTTTTATGCTTTCATTATCGGTATTCGTTTTTGTTTGTAGCTCTTCGTAGCATTCAGAACTTCTTTTTTCATTCGTTCTATTACGTCGTATCGATTCCAGACATTTATTAACGACGAGAATGTTCGGTTATTTTGTAACTGTAAGTGGTTTTGTTTCTTTGAGGAGCGGTAGACTTGTTTTTATGGCTGGAGAAGTTTTCTTTTAAGGTGTAGATTTTGTTGTTTTTCTTTGTCGTAAGAATTGAATCGTTGGCGGAATATTCGATAATCTGCCATCGCTAGGAAGTGAAATTATAAATTTAATTAACAAAGTTAGCAACAGAATTACCAAGCAAGTCAAAATGTCTTGTGAGTACATTCATATAACGATGATTAAAGTGTTATAACAATAAAATTCAGAAATTAGTTAATTCATAATTTGTAAATTTTGAAACGTTTGTGATGTATATTGACTGATCGAAGTAGATATGCATTTATCATCGATAATTTTAGTGTTAAGAAAAATTATGCTTCTGTGCATCCTGATTAAAAAACAAACATTTTACGTACAGGAACCTAACACTAACACCATACACACGCGCGCCTAAGAAATACGGGTTCGTTCCACGACATTATTTATCCGGTGTCCAAAATATTCGGACGGTGAGCACGCCCTGATGTTTCCCTTGCGAAACAAATATTTGCCAAATCGAACCCGAGCCAAGTTTAATCGTTGGTTTGTCTGTCAGTAGGTATTTACATGCGCCTTTAAGCGCGCGATCGAGATTACTTCCGGCCAAACGCGCTCGTGTACATTCAGGGAAACGTTCTACGTGCACTCTTGATAATATTATCTGGAGTTCTTTTTCGTAGAACCTTCGAAATCACGAAGCCAGGAATCATTCTGTTGGAATCAATATCTTCTACAAAAATCTAATGTAGGATATGAAAAATTTTTTTTTTATAATTCGTACGTTACGTAGGTATTTAAATAATATTTCGAACAGGCACTACAAATGCAGACGTAAATTTGTTATTTCTTTTCGTACTACTGATGGGAACACAGGTTCTGAATGTTCGCTTATAATTCTGTCTTTCAGTAGATTTCATTTCCAATCGGTATACTTGAATATTATTCTAGCTACTATTAGTCAGTGGTGTAGTAGTAATTTGTAAAAATTACTACATCCTATTAAATAAAAGAATTGTGTCCACTGAATCAGTTGAATAATCTTCTAAGAAATATCGTTCCCTAGTATGTTATATATTTCTAGTAACGTAATATTGTAGAGAGTAGGGACGACAATCTGTCAATGTGTTGAGTGTAAGCTCCGAAAAAACTACTCACCGCATTTGCCTTGGAATGCGACAGTGATATTAGCACCCTTCGCGCAAGCCGCTCTGTTTAGCTCGCAGAGAGACAGATAGTCGATGCCATCTGTGCCGCAGACAGGACCCGATCCCTCGTGATCCCCTAAATTCGGGCAGGATTCCAAGCATTCACAGGAGGCCTCGGTCCCGTCTCTACTTCGTACGCATTGTGAGCCGAGGGTGCAGTTCAGCTTCGCGCAGGGGTCCTTGATCTCTGTAACAGGAAGAACGATTGCGTCGAGGGAATTAATAATTGTCAAAGTAGTGCGATATACGAGTCGGAATAAAAGTATGTACATTAAAAAATAGTTATTTTTATCAGAATTGTTTGGGTGGTGCAAGCATCGTTGTCATGGAAGCAAAATTTATGCTATTTTTAGGACCTCGATATTTACTTCTTAGATATTAGTATAATTTACAATTGAATCCATTGACTAAAATCTAGTCAACTCAGAATTGAGTGACTCGAAATTGTGAACCTTGCTCTCAAGGATTGCACTTACACCATGACTAGGGATAGTCTATTTTCATTTGTCTGACTAGGAACGGCTCCTATTCTACTTGTCTGACCACGGACGGGCCTTATTCTACTTGGCTGACCTAGGATGTCTCTTACTCTATTTTTTTTTACCAAAGACGGGTTTTATGTTATTTCTCTGGCCAGACGCGGTTCCTATTTCATTTCTTAAATCCGAAAAGGATCCTATTTTATTTTTCCAATCTAGTACAAATCCCATTTAAATTACTCAACAAAGGATGGGTGTTACTCTACTTATCTGCCAAGACCGGGTTCTACTTAACTTCCATGACCAGAGACGTTCCTATTTCAATTTATGTGATCAAGTGCAGTACCTATTCCTCTAGGCTTCCTAGAAATGCTCACAACCCGTTTGTCTAGCCCTAGAAGGTACCTATTCCTATTCCAGTGACACGATAATCCACACTAGTATTGCACTCATATGAAACAGTACGATCCTCACTCGACCGTTCGAATCTACAATGTTAAGTCACAAAGGTACTTACGTTTCGCATAACCACTGCTACAAGAGAAACATATGGTCTGCCAGAGAGACACAGTGCCGCCCGCCAAGGGGTTTAAAAACCCGTGGCGGAGTTTCAAACGGTAAATGCGCTCGTCAAGCTCTCTGACAACAATTAACATTACGCATAGAATAAAACGTTCCCGGGTGCTCGCGGGAGTTGACAATCGTACGGCGAATCTCGCGAATGGAGAATGCAAAGCAACGAATAACCAAGGCTCGACGCCCCGGGGACACTGCGATTCCAGAGTCGTCTCGCAGAAAGGAAAAGCTGTACACGGACAACGAGGAAGGACAATCGGTTTTGTTCCGCAACCGGGGAAGCGATTCCGCGGCTAGAAAGGATCAAGGGTCACCAGGCGGAGGGTTGGTCTGGTTTAATCGATAATTTCTTTTTCTTTCTGGTTGTTCTTTCCGGTTGTTTTTTCCTACGCCATTGGGACGGAGGCACGGCATCAAACGTAATTACAAACCGTAAACACGGAGCGGCGAGCGCCGTAAAGCGGCGTGAAATTAAATCCGTGCGATTCACGATGAATAAAGTATCGTCCACGGGGATTCAGCCGCGGCGGCGCGCGATAAAATACAGTCGGCCAAGCCGCGTGACCGCCCCGCGGTCTGCGGCCGGCACACAGCCCCACCGTCTCCTTTCTTCCACGGGATTTAAACAGATAAAAACCTTCCGCGAATATTCAACGGCGCCCGGCTAAGCCGGTGAAAATTTTTAATGGAACCGCCGCGACGGAATATAGGAACGGTAAACCCAATTAAAACGCACCCCTCTTCCTTCTTCTTCTGCTGCCTCACCCGCACCCTTGGTTCATCGTGGATTCGATACTCTCGCTGTTTTCTTAAAGCAACGGGGGTTCGTTTATGTACGTAAAATTTAGCGAACGTGGGAATAGATTGCTTGAGATTCGTTGCGAAGAATATTATTTGAAATTATGAGCTGCCTTTCGGTACTGTGTTGTTTATATTAGGTGGAGCAGTATGTAATTTGGCATGGTTTTAATTTTGGAACGATGGGTTTTAAATCGGAAATGTCTTCTCGAGTCTGGGTCGAGGAAAAATTGGATGCTGGGATATTCTTAGGAATAGACATAAAATAGATCGCTGACTTCCCATAGAAATGAAGACAGATTTCGTCGAGATATAGTCGATTATTTATTGGTACAATAAGCAGGGAAAATTAATAAAATTACATTGAATAATATCAAATAAGTGCTTTGACATTAAAATTTGAAAAAAAAAATTGAAATATGGAATTGGTCACTTGGGGCTATGAACGTTTGAATTAATAGAACGAAAACTGAACAGAAGAATCCGAGAAATACAATAATTGAAATCTATGTATAGGTTTATTTCTCCAATTCGATGTTTTATATTTTCCAAAACATAGTACTTTGAAAAAATAATACTAAGAATATTATTGATTTGAATACCCCTTTCATCTAGACTTCCATTTTCGAAACTCATCTCTCACCTGTATCTGTCAGATCAACCACGACCACCGAAGGGAAAACAACAAACTCGTTGCCCCAAGACAATCTTTCCTCTACTCACTCTATTATTTCTATCCTGAAAACCAACGAAGTTCCACTATTTCATATAAGACGAACAACTTCTCCGATGTCGGCCGAAGCAACATATTTCAGACTTGCAAATTCTGATTCTTCGTCCTTTAAGCCATGCTCCGGTTTTCTTTATTGTCTTTCGCGTTCTACCAGTCAAGTTGTCACCTCGAAATTGCTTTCAAAAATTAATCTCGAATATTTTACAGTTCCAGAGAACCGTTCCCTGTGACAGTAGAATCTACCGTGTTCGTTACGCGTTCTCGGGGCTCAAATCAAGTCTCGTTGACCGAGAATAGAATATGGAGAGGGCTACCGTGGTCGTTCCCGCTCGTTATTCGTCGCTCAAGTACCTTTTGGGAATACGTAGCAGCACTGGGACACCGTCGAGCAGGCGCACAGTATCAGAAGGGCTTTCCCTATCATTGTTCGCGTGGCTTCTTCCGGCGTTCTCCCTTTCTGCAAATCAAAACCGGACTCAGGCATTCATCCGGGCCTTCCCAGGCAACTGCCAACCACCAGCGTGCCTCTCCACCTCGTGCAATTACTTGCTGCATTTCATTAAGCACCTTGCTTCTCACCTTTCAACCCCAGAGGGACAATGGAACGCACACGCGGATCGAATTGCTTTGAGGCGACTCGGGTGGGTTCGCGGGAAATCTTAATGATCACTTCGACGGAAGATATGAACACTTTGGGGAGTTGCTTGGAAAGTGGTGTTGCTGTTATGTATACTGGGTGCTCGGGAAAAAAAGGAAAGAGGTAGGTACGTGGTCGAGATCTAGTGGTATAATTTTGATGGGAGATGATAAGCTATAGGAAATAGTTTCTGAAAGAATTATTGAGCACCTTTTTCTGGGGAGTTGCTGTTCTGTTAATGAAACTTGTTTATAGAAAAATGTTTTGAGTGACTTTGTCTGAGTGACATGAAACAAATAACAGACTTTTATAAAGCAAGGGACACAATTTGAAAATTTATTAAAATGGGAATGACGGAAAGAAGTTACAATTGAAAATATTCCATTATACCATTAAAATGTTTTTTGTTTAACGAGACGATTGCCTTGGAGAATTATATGGTTTGCTTAATAATATACGTGTGCGGTAGAAATCCACCGTCCCTCTCTAGAATATCACAAATAAAAACACTTTTCTGTTTTCGAAAAAATAACGGAGCCCATGATGTTATCGTGCAACGAATTTTATCATTATGCCGTGAAAAGCATTATTTAACAGAACTCATAAAATAACAATTGTAAAGAAAAGAACTGTAATCCATCTCGACTATCGAAATAATAGTTCTTCCGTTATAGATTTCTAATATAATATTTATTCTGTTAATCTAATAATATCGAAACATACAAAACAAAATAAGAGTCCTTTAAAAACGTTTAAACGCAGAAGAGAACTCAATGAAACGATCAAATGAAACTACTACATAAACTGCAAGCATCGTGATTAGTTGTCTATTTGAGACGATAAAATTCAGGTGTCCCGACGAAACGATCTAGACAGAACATAAAATTTGATGTGCTCCAGCAGCCACTTAGCTCGTTAACTTTGCGACAGAAACGTGTAGATCACTCACTGAAATCATTCACTCTTACGATCGCCACATTAAGCGCGCTCAGATAGACGTAAAAAAAAATTATAGGTGTATTTGCAAAAAATTGAAGGTGACCTTGAAAAATCGTGAAAAAAAGAGTTGACAAAAAATTTGCTATAATCACGTTAAAGCTCTCTTAAAACCATGCTATACCTGATAAAAACACTTTCGATCGGACTGCTAATAACAAAGTAATCTCTACTGATCACGATTCGTGGTTCACCCTCTATAATACAGTATTGCACAATATACTGTAACGTAAAATAAATAACAATTTAAAGATTGACCTGAATACCTACGGAGACATCTTTATTATTTCAGTAATTGTGATATAAGAAATTTGAATTCCGTCATTTTGACGGGTTTCGTAGTTCTAGCGGTAATAATTAAAATACTTCTTCGTCAGACCTCTACTATAGTTTTCTTTTAGGACAGGTTCGACCGACCACGATTCAGGTGAACGATCGTGCCCTGGCGTCGAAAGCCAGCAGGGGTGGTTCGGCCGGATGATGGATCCGCCGCCTCGTTTGCATTCAATAACTCCCCGTGTTCTGGTGTATTTTCGATTTGGCATTCACCGCAACCCGATTATCGTCGTTAACGCATTTAATTCGCCAGCCACTCGTCGTCGTCGCGCCGCCCACGTGCCCCGATCGATGCATAATTAATTATCGGTATGACAAACGCAATTAGCGGTCGGTTATCTCGCGTTGTGGGTGAAGGGGGGGGGGCGTCGCGACGCCAGTCGATTTGTCCCCCTTCCGGGGGTGCTATGGTGCCCCGTAATCTTCCTAATGGAACGAATTTTCCTAATGTAAAAGTCACGGTACCGGATGTTCTGACTGGTTCGGAAACTGCCGCTAGAATTTCACAGGGAATGTATTTTTTGAATTGAAATTTCATGTTCTGAGGATATTTCTCATTTCACCTTTGTTTCGGAAACTGAATGGTTAATCTTGTCTCTTCGATATTAGAATTTATTACAAACTGTGTAAGCTTATGTAAAAAAATTCGTAATTTAATATATTCTGCCGAGATCATGAGAAATATTGTAGTTTTACTAGGAGTGGGTTACTTGAAATCTTGAAACCCTTCGAAACCCAAGGAAATTAAGAGTTTCGAGAATTTGAAATCTTGCAGTTTTTTCGTGATTCGAAATTTTTAAAAGCTAGGTAAGGAGAAATATAAGATTGATGAATAAATATCGAACATACTGAGGTTAGGAATATAAAATTGGAGCAGATTGTTGATCGATCGGTGATCGCAGAAGTGCAGGTCAAAAGCGTGTGATTCGTGAGAGCTTGATTGAGTTTTTTTTAAATTTTATTTTTCAATTGCGTATTGTAGTTATTTAGTGGTTAGTGCTGAAACAAGGATAATTGAATATATCGTTATGTGTGTGTTTCGTATAATTATGGTTAAAATAGATTTATGTAAAAATTTTGCTGAGACCAGTTCTTAAAAAAAATATTCTTTCTACAAAACAAAATCAGCGCTGCAAGTTTCGAGAGTGCGAGTTTCGAGAGTTTCGAAACCTCGCAAAGTTTCGGATTCGAGTTTCAAGAATTTAAAAATTAGATTCCAACCCACCCCTACTTTTTACATGTTTTAACATATTTAATTTTTGCAGGGGATTTATACGTTAAGTAAATGGTAAAACTCCGAGAGCAGTTGTCTGTAAAATGCTAGCGTTTCAAAGTGGTTTTAATAGGATCAGTTACGAAGTCCTATTTACCTGAAACTAAGAATTCTTGGTGACCATTTCCACGTCGCCGTAAATGTAAAAGGAAAGTCAGTTTGCTGGTTTTCATGTAATTACAACGATCCTGTGTACACGTTGAAATTCAGTTAGCAACTTTGTGGAATAAACCACCTATTACCCACCTATGGAATAATTTATCGTGAATGGAAAATATGTAGGTCGAGCACGGTGGACCATGCTGTCGTGATTATCCGTGAAATTTCAGAAAACGAGCGTATTTTAATTATAAATAGTATACATATTCACATGACACTCTTTGCCTCCGAACACGACGATAAGGCACTTAATGTGATCGGCTCGCGACTGTTTAATTCATCGGATACGTTCGCTCACCTAAAGGGTAGTGGTGGTGGGGGGGATTAGCATTCCCTGTGAAACGAGTGCACGGCTGTATTCAACGAACGAAATAACATCGGATATCAGTTAGTCGCACGCGGCATGGAATCGAAAAGCCAGCTTAATCGAGCTCACGGGCCAATCTTCCGCGAGCGCTGCGTGTTCCGGGCTCGCGGAAAATTGAATGATCGAATCCAACCGGCGGCGAAGAGTATTGTAAAGGACCGTGGTGTGAGTTGAACTTGTTATCGAAAAAAGAATAGACGTGAGACGAGACTACGTAAAATCGAATATTAGATTTATCGAAATATGCATGTATTCCGGGTATAGGGAGAAAACGGAACTGGCCCCGATCGTGTACCGGATACGGAGACCTAATTCATGCGACGTGAACCAAAATGGCGCCGCGCTCGATGGTTTCCACGAAGTTAAAATTCAAATCGAATTTCAGGACAGGGTGCGATGAGACAAAGAGCCTCGACTCGACCTTTAACCTTCGGATAGCGGACGCCGGGTCAATTGGGACCCAAAGTAATATTACTATGTCGAAAAGAATTCTGAAGTTATGAATAGATTTTTGAACATTTTTTTTTTCAGACAATCAATGCTAGAATGATTTTCGAAAATTATTTTGTTCTAAACTGTAGGAGCGTGTATAGGATGTTATAAGGTAAGAAAAATATGTAAATTGTGAACGAACGATGTTTATTATAAATTAGTATGTTTATTATAATATAGTTAAGTACTTCCTTCTTCTCATCGTGTATACTTTAGATTACTCCTCGAAATCTTTATTACGTCTTGAACTATAGACAGCGTTGAAATAATTACTTCCTTATCGTTACATATTTCGCGTTCAGTTCAATTATTTACTGCAAGTGTTCGTGAACTGTAACAAACAAAGTCTGCCACAAATGTTCGCACAACTTTCGTATTTTTCTATTCTATTTCGTACTTTCCTATTTAATCTCTCTTCATCGGTACCGCTATAAATTAATCAATTTCACGATTAAAATCGAATTCGCCCGCGACTTGTGTAGCGAACATATTCGGCTAATTTAATCTGGTCTGAGTTTTGCGAGTCGGGAAAAAACCCATGAAAGTTTCCCACCCTCTCCGCAACGTGTACCCTCGACGCCACCGGCCGTCCCCTTCCACGGGTCCAGCGTCGACGTGATATCGTAATTAATAATCCATTTTGCTGGTTTTTGCCGGTGCACCTGACCGTCGCAGTCCACCGCTCATGGGTAATTTATTATTGGCCCGAGCACCGCATTACTCCCGTACTGACGGTCGGTTCTTCGTTAATGCCTCGTCGAAACGTCTGTCAACTGTCGATGGCATCGCGTGGCCCCGTTTTGTACCCGTAGCTGCTCCATCCGGCGATACGTTTACTATGGGGGTGGGAGGGGGGATCGAGTACAATTTATCCGGTTAATACTCACAGATTCTGACGGTACGTCAGTAATTGTAAATGTTTATCAGCACAGATTAATCACTGCACCTTTGTGGTATCTTGTACAATATTTTTTTCATAAAATCAAGGACCAAGAGTCATTTGAAGAGTATTTAACAAATTTAAAGAAATTTTGTTTTTATTTTTTTTGTGAACAATGTCTTTGGTCACGATAAATAATGGCACTAATTGTCACAGTTACACAGATTGTCTAATGTTTGGATGTCATTGAAATTCAATTCATTTGTACTGTCGATCGTCAACAAATCTTCCAAATATTGTCACTGAAATGATAAAGTAGACGTCCACTGTGGTGGAGATATGCA